AGGGGAGAGAAAGGGCAAACAGCAGCAGTGCTCACTCCGTGGGCTCTGGAGACATGTGAAAGCTGTGGCCAGACCCCACACTGAGAGTTTATGCTGGGGCCTGTGCTAATCATGCAGTGAGCTCAGAGTGCACTGTGCATGCATGGCACAGCCAAAGCGTGGGAGGGAGGGGTGTCCCACCCTTGTTCCATTCCTGGATCTGCTGCTGCTCTTCCCTGTCCAGTTCTCTCATTCTGGTTTCCAAGGGCCTGTTGCCTGGCATCAAGCAAGCAGAAAGCCTTGTGCTTGTACATACAGGGTTGCTGCAATACAGTCCTCAACACTGTGATACCCTGGTGGTGTCGGTCTAACAGGGGAGCAAATATTTTAGCCACCTTGGGACTGGCCCTAGCTCATGTGAACACAGAGGACTGCTGGCAGTTGTGCCACCAGCATTCGTATGCTCTCGTCCCAGAGATGCAGCTTTGTTCTAGTGCTGCACATGCATTAGCATCTACCCCAGGAATCTTGTTACTGCTGGTGGGCTTGGAATGCCTGTGGGAGAATAAGCCTAGTTGGATGCCAGGTGGCTGCTGGCGTTCCACTTCTGGGCTCTGTCTGTAAGCAGATTGTAACTTCCATTTCTGAAACATCACCAATAAGGTCATCTGTGCTTGCGGCTAAGCAGTATTCAGGTTTCAGTCCAGGCTCAGCTGTATCTTAAATGGAGCCTTGAGAAGGAAAGGGGGGGGACCCCATTACTAATTAAATACACTGTTTGAGCCTATTAACTATTCTTTTTGTAGTGTATGAAAACCTCAAGTCATCACTGACTTTTGCAAGACTCCAGGAGGTGTTGATTTCTGCAAGAAGAAGAAACTTGAAGGAGCTGGACTCATTTCTTAGATGTACCAATCTGTGTCCTGTCACAGCATTGATCTGACCCAGTGTGGTACTTCTTGTGTCTGTATATCCTTAAAAACATGCAAGAGCCATTTCTGCCTGGCTTCTGCAAACCCAGGGTCTGTAATATGCATTGCAGCCCATAAGTCTGCATGAACTGCTAGGCATGTTTGGTGTGCATGTGGAGTGTAGTCTCATGAGTAGGAACAGACGCTACTAGCTTCTATAGCCTCTGTGGCTTCCACAGGCAGCAGTTCCAGTTTCCAGGTAAAGGGGTTTAAACAGCCTGTGCTGCAAACCCCTTGAGGGACCAGGAAATGTAGCCAAGTTTGCAAAAACCATGCAGAAATGACGCTTGCATGTTTTTTAAGGGCATATAGAAGTGCCACACTCGGTCAGATCAATCGTCCATCTAGCCCAGTGTCCAGTCTCTGAGTGGCAGAAGTGGATGCTAGAGGGAGAGCCTTGAACTAGATAGATCTAGAATAACCTATCCCGTATCCATTTTCTTCCCTTACATCCACCTTTATTGGTTTAGAGATGACAAAGAAAACATCTCCAACCATGCCATTCAACAACTCTTAATAGATTGATCATCCATGAACTTGCCAGGTCCAAACTGGGACTAGACTATGCTGTCTGCCCCTACCACCTCCTGTGGCAGTAAATTCCACAAGTTAAATACACCTTACATAAAAAATACTTCCTTTTGTTACTTTTAAATCTGTGTCGTCCTAATTTCAGTGGGCGCTCAGTAGTGCTAGGGGCTTAGTGAACAGGGGAACTGTTGTTCACTTTGCTCCACACCCTTCCTGTTTTATAGACCTCTATCATATCCCCCTCAGCCTTTTCCTTTCCAAACTGAAGAATCCTGGCCTTTTTGATCTCTTCTGGTTTGGTGACTATTCCATACCCCTGGTCATTTTGGCACTTCTCTGTGCCATTTCTAGTTCTACTACCTTTTTGAGACGAAGGGACCAGAACTGCACACAGCATTCAAGATGTGGGTGCACTATGGATTTGTATAATAGCATGCTGTTCTCCATTTTGCTGTCTATTCTCTTCTTAATGCTCCCCAACCTTTTAATTGGCTTTTTTTGTTACCACTGCACATTGAGCTGAAGCTTTTAGAGAACTATCTGAACTCACTCCAAGGTCTTTTCCTGAGTCATGACAGCTACTTCAGGACGCAGCATTGTGTATATATAATTGAGGTTATTTTTCCCCAGGTGCATTACCTTGCACTTGTCAGCAGTGAAATTTATCTGCCATTTTTTGCCTACTCACTGAGCTTGGTGAGATCTTTCTGCAGCTCTATCATTTTAGGACTTGGCTACTCAGAATAATCTGGTATCATCTGCAAATCTAGAGATTTCACTGTGCGCTCTATTTCCAGGTTGTTGATTAAAATGTTGAACACAATAGGACCTACCATGAATCCCTACTTTTGACCTCCTTCCATCCTGAAAAGTGACCATCTAGCTCTACCTTTTGCTTCCTGTCTTTAACCAGCTCTCAGTTCACAAAAAAATGATTTATTCAAGTGGCTGTGATGCACTAAGAAGAGTGGCATGAATTGCATGAGTTCATGCTTCCAGTTACACTTTAAGGGGAGCTGCCACCCATCACAAGGAAGTGCATGGAGCAGATCGTGACTCTGCCCTGGGCCCTGACCCTGTGCTGTCACCACCCTGTGATCCTGATTCTGGCCCCAGCCCACCCATCCTGCTTCCAGATGCCACTACCTGCACTCCTGCGGCCCCATCCTATCCACTCAGATGAGCACACCTTGCCTGTTAGGATCTCAGGTGAGTCTCCAGGGAGACTCCACCTGCCCTACTTTGCACCCAGAGGCCCCAGCAATGGACTGGGAGCAGCAGCCAGGCAGAGTCTAGCCACCGTACTGCCCCTGTCCCACCATGTGCCTGGGGATGGTGGAGCCAGCCACACGTGCCACAGCCCAGGCTGCCCTAAGAGACCAACCACAGGCTAGATAAAATCCCTTGGAAGGCTGGATCCAGCCCACACAATATTTTGCCAACCCTTGTTTTAAGCACTCATTATGTGGCTCAAAGTGACACCACTTCAGGGCAGGATTATCTCTGAGCCATTAAGGTGTGGCCACTTCCCATAGATGTGCTGCTCAAATTGAAGTCCTCCAGTATCACATAGAACAGTATCCATAGAACAGGAATAGCAGCCTGTCCTGCTCACCAGCTCTGTAGTGGCAACTCACAGGGTGTGACTGCTCCAAACTGGCAGACACCAATCAGCATTTGTGCGGTTCACAGCATAAGGTGTAATGAGGCCCATGAGGCACTCTGTCACTCTTCTCCTTTTCCTCTAGGGATAAAAAACAGACTGACTGGTTTAATCTGGGGTTGACTGTCCTAGGTTTTACATACACAGTTTAAAAGGCAATCAACTCAAATTAGCCTTGATTGCTTGTAGGGGAGGGGGCAAAGTGTTAATTCAGATACTTCAAAGGTACTTAAGATGGGACAATAAGTTTGTATTTATGTAGGATCCCAAGATAAAAATCTTTTTCCCAGGATAAACCTGTGGTCAGTTTTTACCCTGGCTGTCTCCCTTGCCAGGACTCTCTCTTAAGTGTACTGTTCTTCCCTTAGGCTAAAAATAAACTAAAAACAGATTCCCCCTCCCCCCAACAAAGCCTTTTATTCTGGGATCCTACCCAAGTCCCACCCACATCCCACCCCAAAAAACCTGTGATTACAGAGTACAGAGATAACACTTTTCTGGGCACAGTGGGGGTAATTTTAATTAATTGTCACTCAGTGTGCATGTGTAGACAACTATCCCAGCTGGTTTTGATGGGAATCAGAAACCAGGATAGTCAGCCCCAAAATGAATAGGTCATCTTCCGAGGTCCCTTCCAGTTCTAAAGTCTATGAAATCTGTTTATAGCCTGTAAGGCAAGGGTGTCTTATTCATCTGACCTTAGGGGGCAGGCCAGACGACTGGCAGGGACCATCCATGGCCTCACCCCCTCCCCTCTGCCCTTCCCTACATACCAGATCCAGCACCTACTCCAGCCGGATTAGGGTGTGTGGTGTGGATCCCAGAGTGGCTGGCATGGGTGTCATGTGTGGCCCAGTCTGGCCAGGAGTGTGCAGCATGGGTGCCAGGCTGGCAGAGTGGCGCCCATCCAGTCAGACCATGCCATAAGTGGCACTTGCTCTGGGAACTGTGCTGTACATGGCACCTGTTTCAATTGGTGTGGGGCCTAAACTGCACATGGTGTCCACAGGCTGCAGCAGGTGCTGCCAGCAATGGAATCTCAGAACTGCTGGGGCAGGTGCCTTGTGTGGCAGGCATCCCAGAATGGACACCACATGTGGCACAGTCTGGCCAGGGTGGGCACCACATGTAGCATGGCACCTGCTTTGGCCCATCTGGGATCTACACTACCAGCACCTTCCTGTGCTGTATGGTCCTGGAACAGCCACATGTTGTGTCTGGTGTGGGTCTGCTTAGACCCAGGGCAGCAAAGGGACCGGATGGTGGGGCTCCATGGGCTGGATCTGGCCCAGAGGCTGTATGTTTACCACCCCTGCTCTAGGACTGCCTGGACCTCTGTTGCTTGGTGGCCCATTAACATTGTAGAGTATATAGGCAAATTTCCATGGCTCTGGCTCCAAACACTGTTAACTTTTTCTTTCCCATGGACAAGCTAGTCAGGGAAACAGAGGCATGCAACTTTACTATAACATAAACCCTTATAAGCCAGAAATATTACAACAAAACCATAGTCTTAAAGCGGTTTAGTAGTTTCTCTAGCCTTTCTTCTTTTGAGGCACTGGCTGGGGAATTCATATAATGAAATGGCAGCCAAGAAAAATCTAAATAAGAAGAGGTTCTGTTGTGTTAGCCAGCCAGGAGACTGGTAAGGGTAAGGAAGTGCAGTAACCAAGTTAACTGTGGGATTAGCAGTTGAAAGCAGCTCTTCCCATGGGCTTCTTAAATCATCTGAGGAGGAGGAGAGGGCGAGGGGATTGACTGGGTTTGTTTGATGGGGAAAGGGCAAGCATTTGCATGTGATAGTGGCATGAGATCATCTTCTCCCACCTTGTGATTTTTGCATGATTTCCTTGCAGTATCCTTGGTATTATGAGGACTGGGGAGTACATGAGATTCCGCCTCTCCACCAGTGGATTTAAGCAGTCAGTGTGTGATCGAGGCTTCTATACCGGTCCCATCTGCAAGTTCTGGGCATTTTTGTTTGTCATGAGCAAAGTCCTGGAATTGGGTGAGTATAGAACCACTCTGGAATAGTCAAATGTGGTTCTAGCCTCTCGGCTTGAGAGTGGAAGCCTTTCCGGAGGGCCCCATCCTCCTATGTTAGCCAGGTGTAAATTCAGCTACAGTGGGTCAGCTAACATAATACCATCATCCTGTGAGTTGGCAGAGATAGAAAATCAATTTGGTTTGGGTTCTTCTGGCATAGGAAGGAGGTCTTGGTGGAAAGATGCCAATTTGGAATTTGGGTTCAATTTCTGGCCTCACATCACTATGTTTGAGGCAGGGATGGGTAAGCAAATACCATCCAAGAGATGATATGGCAACTCTCCATTAAGAGAGATGATGGTAGGGTGAGAAGCAGGGGGCAACGGTCAGCTGTGTGTGAGGGTCTCTCATCCCATGCCTATAAGGATGCATCCTTGGAACAGTTAAAATTAGAGCTGTTTGGAAATGTAGTTGCAGTGCTTTTCTGCCAAAAATGCCAGTTGTTGAAACTAAAATTATCTGCAAGGATGTGCTGGGTTAAAAAGTGTCACTGAAGGTTTCCTCTGGTCAAACTGAAGAGAGAGACTGATCCCACCCTGTTATAGGTAACAGTTTGGTGCTTGAAGCCCTAGCCTGGGATGTGGAAGACCTGGGTGTGGGTCAGTATGCTCCAAATTAGGGATATCCAGGGCTTGAACTGGGTGAGCGTAGTAAGCAATAGCTGGGTGTTTGTTCTGGGGCACATCTCATAGGGCTTCTTCTGATGGGGCTGTTCCATGCTATAAGGACACTGACTCTACAGTATGGTGGTTAGAACACTTGCCTGGACTTAGGCAAGTTGACTTCTAGCCCCCACTCCAAATAGGTGGAGTTGGTGTGATCTGAACCCAGGCTTCCCACATCCCAGATGAGTACCCCCCACCAGCAGGCATTCAGCTAGGATGGGTTGCGGCTCTCTGACAAAGAGCCACAAACCATTTCTTGTTCATCCTGATGCAAAACGAGGAATTTCTAGATAGGAAAACTGTTGCCTGCCCAGTTCTCATTAACATTAGAATTTCAAGGAGCTTCTGGGCTTGTTTAAAATGCTGTGAATATTTCTGGCCAAATACATCCAGGGTTTTACAACTAGGCAGGTGGCCTAGAAACTGGCTGGGAAAACTGCCCAAAAGCTCTTGTAGCCAGAAACCATCTACTGGGGAAATCAGGATTTTGGGGAGGTCAATCAAGGGTAGTGGGATTCTTCTCAGTCTAGCCTGAGATATGACAGAGGCTTAACATTGTGGCTTAACTGAACAATGTTCTGTCTCCCTCCTAAGGTGATACTGTGTTCATTGTTCTCCGGAAACAAAAGCTCCTGTTCCTACACTGGTACCACCACATTACGGTGTTGATGTACTCCTGGTATGCATATAAGGACATGGTGGCTGGTGGTGGCTGGTTCATGACCATGAATTACGGTGTCCATGCCTTCATGTACTCTTACTACACAGTGCGGGCAGCAGGCCTGAAGGTGCCCCGCTCACTGGCCATGGTGATCACCTTCACACAGATCCTGCAGATGGTGATGGGCACCACTGTGACCATCTTGGCTTACTCCTGGATGCAGGATGAAAACTGCTACACCTCTTGGAGACAGATCTTCTGGTCAGCCATGATGTACCTCAGCTACCTGGTGCTTTTCTGCCAGTTCTTCCGTGAGGCGTATTTTAGGGGGAGGGGCAAGACAAAAGGGGATTAAAGTTGGGGTCGTGGCGGGTTGTAGCTGTGGGTTTGGGGACTCTTACTTCCTTTCTGTGGTTCACTGAGAGTTGGGAAGTCTTGAGGGGGTGGGAGGAAGCTGCTCACTAAAAACATCTGCTGTTGGAGTCTTAGAAGACCCTGGTGTTTACCTCTGTGGGGGAGCTGTTCATCTGGCTATCTAGTCGAAGGTTGAGTGCTGGGGATGGTTTGGGAAGAGGCCAGCAATAGTAGGGGAAAGCTGGAAGAGGGGTGTTGAGAACCCTTAATTGTGACATTTTTCAGGTTGTCTCCCCTTGGCTCCCATCCTTCTGGGTCCCAGTCTTTCCCTTGCAGGATTCCAGTCTTCTGTCCTGTTCTAGGAGGAAAATCTTTCCTAGGGGAGAGGAGTCTGCTCCCTCCAGGGGGTGGTTTCATGGAAAGGGATGGTAGTGAATATGCTGAGCCTGTTGCACAGTTGCTGTCTGGCAGTTCTGCAGCCAGAAGTCAGCTCCTGTTGCCAGTACGAGGAAGCCCCTTTCTGCTCACCAGCTTGTTGGTGCTGGCGGTTGCTGTACGAGGCAGGAGCAGTGGTTGCATTTAAATAGGAAATATTCCCATTTCCTCCAGTCCTGTAATCTGTCTCCTGCCATGGAGTAGGGTTGGGGCAACCACTAATATCTTGGTCCCCCTGTCTGATTTAAAGGCTTGGGGGAGCTTGAACTACTGACCTCAAGGCTTTCCTTCTCACTCCAGCAAGCTGGTTTGGTTCAGCATTTGCTTTTCCTCCTAAATGACATGAAGGACCACATTTCCTCCTGGGTTAATAGTCCCACTGGGATGAGGGGACTCTCTCCAGGTGATCCAGTGCTTATCTAAACTCCTTCTGCAGGGGCAAATGAAGATCCCACTCCATCTCCCATATGCTACCAGTGGGAGGGGGGTGGAATATGAAAAGCCCAGCATCTGCTACAAAAAGCCAGAGTCCAAAGCAATTAGCTCAGAAATTGACCTTACCCCCATGATGGTATTGTTTAAGTCCTCATAAAATTCTCTTACTTGTGCTCACAACAGCACAAATGCCCATGCCTGGTGTTCTGGTTTAGACAGAGCCTCTCAGATATGTACTACAAGAAAGTAACATTTTTCCCTTCCTTGACCTGGTGATTACCTCTGCTTTGAAACAGAGGATGGCCAGAGACTGTGGCATGCTGGACTGTGCTCTTGGAGCCCTTATTAAGGCCTCCCTGAGATTGGAGGGGTGTTCCATGAGTCACCTTTGGGTCAATGTGCACTGGCTGCACTTTAAAATACTGCTGGCTGTTTTAATCTATGAGGAACCTCTCGGGTTTGGATGATGGCAGGGCTACTGATATATCTCGTCAGTGGCAGGAACTTCAAATTTACTCACTCGCTGTGTGAGAGACTTGAGGATAGGACAAGGAACAAGGCATTTGGACACAGGTAGCTTATGGGGCCTTGGGCAAGTTGCTTCATCTCTCTGTGCATCAGCTCTGCACCTTTAAATGGGGATGGGTCAGCCCTCCCTCCCAGAAGGGTGGAGATATAAAACTGAAGATGAATGTGATGTAAAACCAGGTCACTGCAACCTGGCCTGCCCTGTTTCTTTCTTCTAGGGGCTTCATCTTCCAAGCAAAGCAGCTGTGAAATGCAGGAGGCGGCTGTGCAGGTGCAGAAAAGTCTTACCATGTTCCCGGACAGGGCTGAAACCAAGGGAGCACTTGGCTTCAGCCAAGGGAGGGCAAAGCCAGGGAGCACTTGCTCTGTTTTGCATTCCTTTAGTTAATTTGTGTAACATTTAAATCTTGCCTCTTCCTCCTAAAAGCCAGAGTGGTGAAGCCCCTTTTCCTTATGCCACACGCCCCCTCTGTAACCAAAGGTAACCAGAGTCTGTACCCTTGTACAAAAAAAGATAACGTAAGTGTGGAAGGGCACTAATTTCATTTGCACAAGCAGGGCAACAAACCAGGAACCTGGGCCCTCCCCAGGCTTAAGCTGCTGTTTTAAATGACGAAATCAGCTTGCTAATGCTTCCTCCTTTCTTGGCAACTTCTGCTGATTAAGCCTAGACTGAGGCAATGTAGCCTTTCCCGGCTGAATAGCCAAAGCTAAGGTCACCCCATACTGATCTCAGCAGTTTAAACATGTATACTATGGATCAGTCTGGAACAGTGGTGCCCAACCTTTTCATCCTGTGTGCTAGATGAGTGGAGTGGGGTGGGGCTGGTCCACATGCCAGGATCAGACCCTGGGGCTGGCACCACCCCCTCCCAGTGCTCCACATGGCAGGATTGGGGCCTGTGGCCCTGCACACTGAGATTGGGGCTCCTTATGGTTCTGGAAATTTGGTGGCAGGGGAGCAGTGCTGCTATGGCCGTGCCACCAAATTTCTGAAACTATGGGGAGCCCTGGGGGCTGGATGATGCAGGGCTGCAGGCTGGATTTGGTCACAGGCCAGAGGTTGAGTACTCCTGGTTTAGTAGCAACTGCAACTAAGAGGCTTGTCCTGCAATCTCACCCTGCACTCCCTCCCCCTTCCCTGGTGCTAAAAGGCCTATCCACCCAGATGGAGCTCTCAGCTGCTAACATGGAGGTGCAGTTATTTGTTGCAGAGGTCTGCTGCCAGGTGCAAACTGGATGGCCATTGAGCAGGAAGTGAATGCAATGCTAATTCATTTTTTTTCCCATGAAATAACCCATTTAATTTACCAGATGCTACCTGCAACCTGCCTCAGCAGCATTCTGTAGAACACAGGTCTAGCCCACCCCAGATTGTACAGGGCTGTGCACACGGTTTGAGAGCTGCTGTTGGAAGTTAAAGGTGAGGAAGAAACAGTGTCTGCGTCTTGCAGGTTTGCTACAGCTGGGATTTGCAAAGCAGCCACTAGACAACAAAAAGCAAAGTTCTGTGGACCAGATGTATGTACTACTGGAAGCACATCTGAAACAGTCACTATGTGATGTATAAATTTGGTTAATAAATGCATTTTTGTTACTCCTTTGTATCTGGCCTTTGTTCTGAATGACCGCACCAGCGGAGCATTGACCAGCCACTGCTAAATCCCCAGTCTCCTCCTGCCCCTCTGTTCATCACATTTTTAATCCAGCTGCACCTTGTTAACAGGGTGGTACATCCCCTTAAGAGGAGTCAAGCAGCCTGGCTGAGGAGCTGCCACTGTGAGAAGTCTGCTAATGAGGAAGTTAAAAACACAATGAAGCAGAGTGGTGGGAAAGCAGCAAGCTGAACTATATGGGTGTGAAGGTTGGAGCTATAGAAATCTCCTTCCAGTGTCTGGAGTAGGACAACGTTGTGTTTATTTGCTTTCTTTGTAAAGATGTTAATGCTAGGGCCAGCTGAAAAACTGCTCAGGGTTTTGCCCACAAGCAGCAACCTACTTGTGTCTCTTTTTCTTAGCTTGTTGCCCAATCAAATATTGTCTTCCTAGAGATGCAAACCAAAGGAGGAACAGGAATAAAGTTTGGTAAATGTGGGATCAAAACAAGCCAATTAAACCATAATTCCATAATTAATGCTATCTGAAGCAAACTATATCTTGCTCTCATGTCACAAAACCTAACTCCTGTATTGCAAAATCCCTGTTCAGAACATACCCAAAGAGTGTAATTGATCTTCTTGCTTCTCACTGCTGTGGAAAAACACACACCATCCCTTAGTGCACAAGTATCCAACCTGTGGCACATGTGCCATAAATATTGTGGGCAGCACCTGTGGCATGGAGCAGATCAGGCAGGGAGGACAGGGCAGGGAATAAAAAATAGGAAGGAAATCAGAGTAGCATTAGGAGGGTCAGGCCTAATTTGTGGCATGCCTGCCAAAAAGGTTGGCTCCCACTGACCTAAAGTCTTTGTCTGCATAGCACTATTTTGAATGTTCCCCAGCACCAAGCCCTATGCCAAGCCCACACAATCTGGCCTATGTGTGCTTTCTACCACTCCTGCTGCTGAGTGAGGGCATACCACTGGTAAAGGAGGTGCCTGCAAAGTGAACACCTTTGGTCTCCCTGAGATGCGTGCCACCTCATTATGGTAGATACACTTCTTGCCACCATTTTATGGTATCCAGCTCTGCAATCTGGAGAAAAATAAACAAAAAGGTTAGATATTGAATTTTATCCTTGATTTTTTTCAGCTGGGCTCAGGGAATTGATAAAGTAAGGAAGAATGAGTTGAGAATGGCATATGAGCTGATCCATGCCCAGTGGTCAAGGGCAGTCTTAGGTAACGAGTTCCAGTGAGATCCTGAAAAGACCTTAAGATTTTGTGATGCAAGTCGATCAAGTAAAACTGCTGGAGAGATGTATATTAAAAGGGCAAGATGGCTGTAAATATTTGCTAGTATTTGCCAAGTGTATAAGTGCTAGTGTTTACCAATTGGATTTCCACTCCTACATGGGCTTGGAATAGCCTAATTCAAATTAATTGCCATTTAAACCTCATGAGTAAACAACTGTCCCACCCCTTTTAATCTCGGACTAAGATGAAACCAGTTGCCTATTTTTTCACTAGAAGACAGATTTAGGGACAAAGCCTTTTATTTTGGGAGAGGTGAGGATTTCTTAAAATCTTGCATTTGTATAAGACCATGTGGGAATGGGAGTACACATTAATTTTAGGCAGCCACTGGAGCTCTTAACCCCTTGGACTATCTACACATTAACGTCTGAAACTAATTTTAAGCACATTTTGGGCATTTTAAAGTTGAGCCACTCCAGGGCGAGTTTATCTCTAATCCATGTTACCCAGTTTGTGTTACATTAATTCAGGGGTGAGCAAAATGCTGCCTGCAGGCTGGATGCGGCCCACCAGGCCATTCTATCTGGCCCGCGGGGCCCCTAAAAAATTTAGAAAATTAATTTTTATCTGCCCCTAGCTGCCTGTCATGCAGCCCTCAATGGCTTGCCAAAACTCAGTAAGTGGCCCTCCACCCAAAATAATTGCCCACCCCTGCATTAATCTGTGGCCACTGCCCACAGATGAGTTGTCCAAATTGCAGTCCTCCAGCATCCCAGGATGCCTTGTCCCCTTTCCCATCCTCCTGTTGTGTGGACAAATTCTCCACCACCTGAACTCTACGGATCAAGGGGTGGTTCTGGCACTAAGCCAATTCCCCTTCTTGTCCCAGCTATAGCTCCTGGTTAGGCCCCTCCACACAAGCCTTCTAGTGGCAAATCACAGCTGTGCGGGTGGGGCCAGTCAGAGGTGGTTTTTAGCCTTAAGACGTGACTGCTCCAATCTCCAGCTAGCACTAGAACTGCTTAACACTTGAGCAGCTCAAAGTGCAATATATAATAAGGCGCTTAATTCAGATAAATCACTGTTCAGTGGGTGTGATAAATCAGACTCTTTTGTAGATGTGAGATCACTTAACCTCTCCTTGATGCAGTGCTAATCCATTTTGTATCAGGTGATTGCAAGCCCTTGTATTGTCAGAGGTCGTTGACCTATTTTAGAGAAAATTGTGAAGTGCCTGTGCAAGAGGGATCCACCTGTGTAACAGGTGAAAACTCATTCCTCACGGGTGAAAACTCAGGTAAAATAACAATAAGGTGGATAGCTGCCTACACATATGTCGGGGTGAACACCAGGATCTAGGGGAGCAACTCTTCAGAAAGGCACCCCTTGGGAGGATGAGGTCCAAGGGGAACAAGCTAGTCAAGGAAGAGTTTAGGTGAGACATAAGGAAAAACTTATTTTCCATCTGGGTAACTAGAATCTGGAACACATACTCAGTAGAGGTGGTGCAGTCACCATCCCTGGCAGTGTTCAAGAGGAGGCTGGCCAAGCACCTCACTGAGCTCATTTGAACCCAATTACCTCCTGCCCATAGCAGAGGACTGGACTTGATGATCTTACAGGTCCCTTCCGGTCTTTTTGATTCTATGATTCTATAAGAAGAAGGCTGCGGTGATGAGGGAGCCCCTAATAAGCCTCCACATGGCCATTACTGTCAGAGCACCAAGTCTACTAAAACTTAGTAGACTTAGTTGTTGCCCTGTAGAAGTCTGATCTGGAAAGTGCGGGCCTTGACCAGATGAAGACTAGGAAACAGAAGGAACACAGGTAACAACAATACATAAGTACCAGCTTTCACAGAACAATCCAGGACGTGGGCTGGGGCTTGCCGCAGGTCACTGGCAGCAGTAGTCTATACCAGTAAGTAGTGGTGTGGCAATGCACCAATTGTACTTAGCTCTGCTGATGCAGCAGGGTGTTGCATGGTGCTATTGACTTTCCAGGGATGGGAAATGTTGGCTAAGATATCACCACTTTTCAGCCTACAAGTGCAAAAGTCAGATTTCAGGGACTCTGTGGGCACAGCTGGGAACAGTCCCAGAAAATCTGGGACAATTGGTTGCTTTCACTTGCTGTTAGCTGAGGAATACAAACTTTGTTTTTCAAGGTAGGTTCACCCTTCTCAAAGTAAAGAAAAAGAAAGCTTATACCTGGTCCATGACAAAACCTTGGGGGTTTATCAAAACATTCAAAAATTGGTTACTTTGGGCTGCTCAATTACCATGTTTTCTGGTGTATATGGTGGGTTTCCCTCTGCCCCCTCCCCCCCCCCCAATGTATTTTTTTAAAAATCATTATAATACATTTGATCACACTGTGATCAACTTCTCTGAAAATCTTCCCAAACATTTATTCTGTTTTGGTGGTGTCTCAAATACACATATGCATCTTATACACTAGAAGACACAGTAAAATTCTACAATGGCCTCATTATTAAGAGGTTACAACAGTCTTTGCCCATTCTGAAACCAAGAAACATTTGTGGGGCAGTAGTATATGTAAAAAAGAGAATACAAAAACCCTCCCTAGTTACCTTTCAAAAGTCTGCAGCTCATAAAACAAAAGAACAGTGTGTTGTACAAGAGGCACCTACTACTACTAACTTGCACTGCCTCTGGCCCATGTTAGGAAGCACCCCAGTGTGCAATACATGGTAAGTCTGACATGATGCTTCTGTCTTGGAGCAGCTCCAGGCTTGTGCCTACAAGCTCTCTGTGTTGGACAGGCTCATGCCTTGTGCCATGGTAAGATACCTGCATTCTGGGGGTTAGAATGCATGGAGCAGCTGTGCCACTTCACTGCAACACTCCCTAGCACAGTCCGGGAGCAGATAGACATGCCTTCACTTTATAGTTGAACCCACAATGACAATAGAAAGCCTGATGCCCATTACATAGGAAAAGTGTCAGCAGTCCAAGGTGGAAAAGGGCTCTCTATCCAGCTATGTATTGTATTAAGTACAAGGTGAAAAGTGCTGTGCTATCTGGGTTAACATAAGTAAAATGTAACCAAGTACAATTTAAAAAAACCCAACCCCAACTGAGAAAACAGCCCCCGGGAGCTTCGGCAGCTTCCCAATAATATGGCTGCTGGTAGATAGTACTATGAGCTGGCCATGCTTGGGAGAGGACATCATGGCATCAAGAGGCCATTTCCAGCTGTAGTTCTATTCCTGAGCGTCTGTCATCAGGGGTGTTTGCTGTATGATAGGCCTGTGCGAGTCGGCAGCTATCCAATCTGGCTTCGGATCCGGCCACTTCAGATGGCTGCAATCCAATCCAAAGCTCTGGACCGGGTTTCTGCCTCGATTCGGCCAAAGCAGCTCCGAAGCTTTGGAGCCTCCTTGGAGATCTGGCCATAGGGTATAGTGGGGAATCAATGAATGAAATATCTATAACTTTGTTGTTTTTGTCCGATTTGGATGAAACTTGCAGGAATGGTAGCCTCTGCTGAGAGCATGAAACCTACCAGGTTTCAAGAAGATTGGTGCAGAGGTTTGGGGGAAACTGTACCACAAATTCTCAAAAGCCAAATTCATGCCATGGCTGTGTGTTACACCACAGGGGGGGTGAAAACTACAGGGATGGTGGCCCCTGCTGAGGCCACAGAGCCTGCCAAGTTTCAAGAAGATTGGTGCAGAGGTTTGGGGGAAACTGTACCACAAAT